GAACTTCATATCCTCCATTTTTTGTCTCTCCGCGCGCTCCTTTTTCCTTGCTTCTTCTTTTTCTTTGTCGAACGCCAAACGTTCAGCAAAATTAAGATTATATCGATCAAACAACGCTGCTATTTTCTGCATTTCGTCAAGGTCCATGCTGAAATCCGATGCACCCGAAGAAATCCCTTTTCCCTTCCTCTTTGCTTTGTCCATACCCATCGGTCGAACAATTTCTTCTAGCTCGAGTTCGTCCTCCTGATTTAAATCTAGACCGACCTAAGCATCGGAGGAAGTTGTGTAACCACTAGAGCCCGTTTTCGTTCGCTTTGATTGTAGTACTCCAAAAATAAAATCTTGCTCGTATTTTTTTCCACCTAGGACTTTTAACCAATAATTTCCAACAACCATGCCACTTGAATGGTTTTCCGACTTCCTCAAGGTAAAATTGCAAAGCTTCTTGAAATATTTATTCGTCGCATTGACCGCTTTTTCGTTGGGTTTTTAGGTTGTTGTACAACCCGTTTATTTTTGAAATCCCCTTCGCTATTTCTCGAAACTTCGAATTCATTTGGTATTTCGTACGGTAGTCGTCATCTTTTCCTAGCTCCTTCCGGAACCGTTCTAAAATGCGAAACCAAAAATGATCTCCCGATTGTGCATTTCCCGTCTTCGAATCCTCAGAAATGTCAACCCAAACTTTTACCAAAACTAGCTCTTCTTGTGGAAGCCATGGTATCGGCTTTTGTCTTCCCGGTTGTGCGACACCCTCGTGCGCTTGTTGTTTTCCTTTGCGTCGTTGTGGGGGTGGTGTGGGTTGAGTTTCAGGAACCATCTCTTCTTCTTCCGAGTCATCCAACTCATCGATAAGTTGGAATTGTTGTTGGGTTTGGGTTTGGGGTTGGGTTTGGGTTTGAGGTTGATTTGGCGAATGTTGATCGGGAAAAACAACAAAGTTTGAAAACATTTGCGGAGTAACATTTGGAACTTGGACCGGGTAATATTGTCTAACATTTTGGTATTGAAAATGTAGTTGAGATTGAATGAGAGCATCGAGTTGGGGACGATAAACTCCTTGTGATGATGAATCGATAGCAAAAATGTTTCGAGTAGGGGTGCTTAAACTCGAAACATGATTTTTTTTCCTTCTATCGGAGGTTGGGGTTTGATTGTCGGGATTTTTTTTTTTTTTTGAAGAAAATAGAGGTTGAGGTTTGATTGAATGTAAATGAGTATGAGTATTTATAGAGGTTGTAGAGGGTAAAAAAAAAATTACATTTTAAACCATATAGCCGTTGGAAAAAAAATCACATTTTACCGATTTTTAACGGTTATTTTCAAAAAAAAATAAAAATTCTATCCAATCCCCATGAGAACGCGGCAACCCCACCCCCACCTCCTCCCCGCCCATATCTTCCCGCACCGCTGGTGCAGTGTTCATCGGAGCGGGAAAGGCCCCGCCCCTCTTCCCGCACCCTGCTCCGTCCAGCCTTATATCATTTCTCTATCTCTATCGTAAGCATGTACATATATTTTTTTTATTATTTTATTATTCAAATTTAGAGAAAAAAACATAACTTACATTTAGATATACAATATTCGCTTATGGTGTTTAAATTTTCCATTTATAGCTTTTTAGTTACTTTCTGTAAAGTAGTGATACTTACATAAAAAGATGTGAACAAATAGTGTATTAAACTTTTCTTCTCGTGATTAGTGGTCAATTTATTCATGTTATTAGCTTTTTTTATTCACGTAACTTTTAAGATATATATATATATATATATATATATATATATATATATATATATTATATATATATATATATATTTCAACAACTTAAATAATACAGTGAGATTTGAAGATAAACTTTTTGGTCTAATGTCTCAAACTTTGTGGAACAAGTCAACTCTTTCATGCTCTTTTACATAAAATTGCTTAATCTATTTTCATTGTTTTGAAGCTACGGGTCTTCTAGAAATATTGTAGGCGTGCGCTTGTGACAGACGTCGACCGTCTAAAGAATGACTTTTACGACACAATATTTGCAGCAGTTGCAATGGATGGGAACATACAGGAATAGACATGGTTCCTATATAGTTGTATTGACGACTTGGAATATTTAACATTGATATCTGATAATCTGAAAGGGCGCCATCGATTACGGTGACCCTTGCATCTATATTCCTATATTCCTGAATCATATCATAGTATTTGTGGTCACCAACTTTTATCATACTTAAGAGCCAAGTTAGGGAAAAATCAGAATACAAAAGTGTTAATATAAAGCAAGCGAAGTGTACAAAGTGTCAGACAAATGTGGTTATTGGAAGCTTAATAATTTATTAAAGTTATAAGACAAATGTGGTTATAACACATTATCTCCATCTTTTCGGATGTTTGTTTTTTGCAAAATACATGTTTAATCTTGATCTTTTTTCTTCACGAAATGATGAGACCATTTTTAAATAAAACATGATTATATGTAATGAAATATTTTAAAAATTATAGCATTTTAAAGGACCAAAAAGTGAGGTGTTACATAATGTCTCTTATATGTGCCTTGATCTAAAATTATTCTTTGTATCAACAATAAATGTAGCATAGTTAAAATTAATTGAGTCGGTGGCTTCATAACCCTAAATTAGATATTTATATATTTATATATGATGTAATCTTTTGTCTTGTCTAGGTCCTTGCTATTTTAATATAACTATAAAAAAAAATGAACAAGCATCTTGTTCATGTTCGTTCATTTATTAAATAAATGAATATAAACGAAATTTCCAAAAAAAAACAATTTGTGGAGGATTCATTAAACTACGGGCCAATCGGATATGATTACTTTTAACCATAAATTATTGGAAGCTTATTAATTTATTAAAGTTATAAGACAGATTTTTTGGATGTTTGTTTTTGCAAAATAACATGTTTTGTGTGAAATTGTTTTAAGAAGATTTTTTTTCTTCACGAAATGATAAAACCATTTCCCGATAAGGTGGACCTGCAAAAAAAAATATTTCACAAAATCTATTTTGTAAAAGTAATAGACATCTTGTGATAGATAGATATTAAAAAAAATGATTATTTTGTTATAAATACACAATCTTTTATAGTATAATGATCAACCCATAATTACTATTAAAATTAATTAAGGAGCGAAAATCATAGATTTTCTTAAATGACAAATCTAATTCAATCATAATTTATTTTTAATTTCACCATCTGTTTCAAAATTTGAGCCTCAATCTTAAGGAGGAATGATAATATTTGATATCGTTGGGCTAGAAATGTTTTAATAGAGATCTTTTTTTTTTTTTTTTGATATATTTGTTTCTTGATTGTTTTTTTGGATTTTTACTATGAGGAAAAAAGTTTAATATTTTCTTATTTAAAATTGTTCCCTTTACTAGTTTTTTGCAAGTTTTTTTTAATGACATTGTTGTTCCAAAGTAAAACATTCATAACAATAACCAATTTTATCAAATATATAAAAAAAAATTAAAAAAATCGCCATGTTACAATAGAAAACCCTAACAAAACATTATAATTTTGATAGGACATTAAATAAGCAACAAAATGGAAAGATACAGGCAATATTTTGCGTACTAGTTTCGAGGGAATGATGCCAAAATGATGTCACCGGGGTAGGGAGCCCTAAATAGTGGGAGTGACCAAAATCATATGATATATTTGGAAATAGTACCACGAAAAAGCTTCAATTCTTTGATTCATTATTGATATCCCCGTGATTCCTAAAAGGCGTCACACATGTGATAATGAGACTTATTATTTCTTTTCCTTCTTATTTTACAATTGTCTTGGTCCACTAAAATTTTCAAAATGTTAAAATTTATATATTGAATGTATTCGTCAGAACTAGCAATAACTTGTTAGTTGTTAGCTAATAGTTGGTTACTAAAATTGAAAGTTATAATTTTTATTTATATAAAGTTTTTGAAGAAAATAGTTGGAAAATTTTAAAATATATAAAACTACATAAAATAAATTATCTAAAACACACCATTAAACTTTAAAAATATATAATTAAGTCAAATTATAAAAGTATAAAAGAAATTTTCTATTAGAAGCTTTCAAAAATTGTGTTCCGAACATGTATATGTTTTGTCCATGATAATGACTTGAAAAGGTAACGAGTTTTCAATTTTGTTCAAAAATTGTGTTCCGAACATGTATATGTTTTGTCCATGATAATGACTTGAAAAGGTAACGAGTTTTCAATTTTGTTCATATTTGTTTACTGAACTATTTTTTTGTTTTTGATTTACAAATTATTTAAAATTATTCACATTTTATCATTATGAGCGGTGTAAATGTGAACAATTTCAAATAATCAATTGTTAAATCAAGCACAAAAAAAAGTTCAACGACTAAATATGAACCAAATTGAAAGTTCATTTACCCTTTCAAGTCATTATCCCTTTATATAATCATCTATTAGTTTATTTTGCCTATTAGTAGCAATTACTTAGATTAATAATTTTGATTTAATTCACTATATTAGTTTTGTGTTGTGTTTGTAAGAAGTATTATAAAACATAATACATACCACATAACCATGTTGTATTTCATGACTTTAATCTTAGTACATGAGATAAAATTTTAACTAGATTTCTTTATTCGTTCCATGTTTTATGATTCTATTTATAATTACAATTTTATAGGTATTACAATAAATCAGATACTTTATATATTTTACAAACTGTTATTTTATTTTCGACTAAGTGTTGTGAAACGCAACGCGCATTATACATAAAACATCTATTTCAGGCTATATCAAGATATTTGTCCGCACGATAAAATAGAGAGAATTATGAGTGTTACTTTTCGAAAAACACCACCCAAAAAAAGTAGAAAAGTTTGAAGAAGCATTAAATCACTTAGTCAGTTAAAAGTTCAAAAAAGCTGTATGCAAGAACATTCATTCATAAACAATGTGATCAACACACCCTACAAATTTATTATGCTTTATAAACCTTCAATTTGCTGCATTTCTTTAACTCATGGGAAGAAAACACCACAATCCCAGTTATAACTTAAACCACACTACAAAATGTCCACCAAATTGTTCCAAAACCAAATTACCATAATACCCCTGGAAAAAAAACAAAAACCTCAAGCCGCCCTGGGAACCGGGGTGTTCTCTGGCACTGTAACTGACCGCAATAGCTCCAACGAAAACAAAAGCCCCAAGAAATGTGACAAGATTGTGTTAGCACTCGCCTATAACCATAAATTCATCATTTCATCAAACAATTCATTAAAAAAATAATAATAAATAAATTACAAATCTGACCTGAACCAAGAACACATCCAATGCAAGAACAGGGCTAACCCCAGGAGGGGTACCTTGGTAATATGGTGTAGCTGAAGTAGTAAGAGCCTTAGCCACCAGGAATCCTACAGTGGCCTGCATCCCTAGGATAGCAGCACCCATACCCACTAGGTTCAAAGCTATCCCATTTTTCAAACTTTTCACCACATCAGCACGAGGTGGGGCCTGAATGATAATAGTATAAAGATTTGGGGTTTAATTGTTAAATTGGTAAAAGATGATGATGAAAGTTGTAAATTTTATGAAGATGGACATAATACATACCTTTGAAGGGTCATTGGCGGTTTTGCGGAGCCTATCAGAGAGACGAATGTAGCCAAATGACCAGAAGACTGAGAGGAAAGCAGCAATGATGCCACCGGAAGTGGCATAGAATGTGGCTGGTGATGTGATTTTTCCGGTGATTACAATGGAAAATGAAAGGATTACTGCAGATACAATCGTGCATATTAGTTGTCCCCAAAACCCTAAGCTGCCCAATCTTTTGAAATTTCTTGATGTAGTCTCTAATCTCTTTGCAACCTACACGATAGTGTATAGTTCATGACAAAACCATTAAATTTCAAGAGTGTGGAACCATTAATACTAGTTCACTCAATGGGAGTATATTATAGATCTCGTTGTCCATGGCATTTTTTGTTTTCACGAAGAATGATGAATGTGATTCCTGTTCTCTTCCATGGCTCTGTAACGCTTATTGTAACTAAAAGGGAGTAAACGGGCATTAAGAAATTCAGTAATGGTAATGGTGTTTAAATGAAAGATGCTAACTGTTACTAAACAATTGAATTCAATTTAGAATACATATGTATCACACAATCGCTTTTAAATGAGAACTTGAAAGATCTCAAAACCCTATTCAGACTTCAGTGGACTCGGTTATTAGCAAGAACTTCTTGAATCGATCGGTTGGACTCAAATTTACGGATTATTTGAAATTTAAACAGAATTGTTTGATGCAAATATCAATATGTATGTACTGAAAAACCCTATGAAGATCATATGCGTAACTATCGAGAGAAAACGAAACTGCAGAATTCAAAGTGGCTATTTATCAAATACCTGAGCGAGTTTTGCCTTTTCGGGATCTTCACTGTAGGCCGCAGAAATGGGAGCTGAAGCGAGCTTATTAGGGCATTTGATTCGATTTCGATAAAGGTGAAGCGAAAAGGGAGAGGAGGATGCGAAGGAAAGCGAAGCAGACGATGAGAGAGAATAGGGTAAATTGAGGGCGGAGAGAGGACGGTGGAGGTAAGGTAGTGAATGTTTAGCTACTGCCAAGGGCGGCGGTGCACTGCCGGAACGAGCTGCCGGCAGCAGATTGGTTAGCATTTTGGAATTACGGGTTTTTATGTTCGTCGACTGGAGTAGATAGAATGGTCTCCTTGCTTTCCAAACACTCAAACAGGGTTTTCTTTTTCTTTTTCTTAAAGATATTTCTTCCCAAAGTAATATAATATCTTTTATGCAATTATTATAAAGATATAAATTTTGAACCTCCTTCGTGAAAGTAAAATTTGGGTCAATTTTTATTTTTGCCCTTGGACTTTTGTTATTTGTTGGTTTTATCAGTTTTCGTCCTTGGTCAATTTATATATACATATCTGGTCAATGGTCAGTGGCTGGCCAATGTTAGATATGTGTCTACACACGTGTTATGTTATTCTACCGTTTTGGATTCATCAACAATAGATAACCACCGCTTCATCTACATTCACTCATATCCTTTCCACCGCCTATCTCTCCTCTATGTATCTACTTAGATGAAAAAATCCAGGGCAATCAGCTTTCAAATTTGTAACGCCCGATATGTCAGGTAAATGTTAATTAATTAAATTCATACATTTGGACTCTTGAACCCGAGTACGCTGGGCGTACATATGGTATGTCGGGCGTACTCCAATGCATGCATGAGGCGGGATATCCCCTTGGTACGTTGGGCATACCCATGTGTACGCAAGGCGTACGGCAATCAGGGGCAAACCCTAATTTTTAGGGTTTGCACTCTATTTAAACACATTAAGTCCCCAAGCCCTCTCCTTATCAACATCCATTGTCTCTTTGGGCTATAGCTCGATGCCCTAATCCATTTCCCCAAGAGATTGACCTTTGAGTGTGTGTTTTGGTGTTTATGGTGCATATTGAAGAAGAAGAAGAAGAAGATTTGTAGAGAAACATTGGACATGAGGGAGCTTGTAGATCCAGAGATTATTCACTCTTTCTAGCTTATTGGAGGTAAAAGCTCCTACCTTGATGACTCTATGTGTTAGATCTAGTATAGGGCTTGCTTTTATTATATTATGGTCCCTTGAGTCATCATTGTGAGTATGAGCTACTCCAAGAGCTTAGAATATTAGATCTTATCATTTCTGGTAGTGTTAGTGTATAAAAATGTAATGGGTTATGTTGGACTATGCAAAGGTTGGTGTCCATTCTTTGAGGATAAAGTGTTTAAGTTGGTTTTGGAACTTATTAAGACATGCAAAAGCATAAAGTTTGCAACTTTATGAATTAATATATTTTATTGGGCTTGGATCTGAAGTTGGATGTTGGGTCTTAAAGCATTAAGACCTTAATAGAAAGTTTGGGTCTTGGATGCGTACGTCGGGCGTAAGTCTTGGTACGTTACGCGTACTGCGTCTTGGCCCCGTAAGAACCAGCTATAGTACCTACCCTATTTGTAGGGTACAATAGACTCAACAAAAAATACAAGGACTATACACTCTAGCATCGAAAAACAAAAAGTGCCTTGTAAATACAAGGACTATACACTCTAGCATATAGAGTCGAAACCATTTAGATTTCGAACCCTTACAGACTCAACCTATTTTGAATCCTCATTATATACGTTTCGACGCCTACACAAACACTGCTAAAAATATCAAAGTGTAAACATTAAGTATTTTTTAAAATTAAATTTAAAATAAGGAAGGAAAAACATATTTATTGCAATTTATGATCATATTTATTACATTTAATACTTTACTTATATAAATATATGTATTATGTGACTTTTTAATTTTAAAAATTAAAAAAACCTAGAAATTTACATATGAATATTATTTATTTAAAAAATACCATAAAATGACAAGTGTCAAAACTTATGAGAGATTGACATGTGGCAAAATGGATCTTCATTTATTAGGGTAAAATTGACATATGGATATTTTTTTAAGTTTTAGATCTTATTTTTTATCGAAAAAGAAAACTAAAAATATCTAAATTAATAACTTCACATTGCGAATGCTAAAAAATAAATTATATATTTTTCATATTCACCGTGTGAATTCAGATTCACACTGTGAATTTGATAAAAAAAAATTATCGAATTTGATATCATTGGAAAAATAATAAAAAGTTATGAATTTCTGTATTTTTAGTTTTTTTTTCTTTTGATAAAAATTAAACTCTAAAAGTTGAAAAAAAATTGGTTTCTTTGTTTAATGGTTACAAATGGGCTCCTATTGAACTTCATTTTATATATATATATATATATATATATATATATATATATATATATATAGATATATATATATATATAATAATGTGTGTCTATATATACATAAAAAATACATTTATCGACAAAATATTATATATATATATATATATATATATATATATATATATATATTCATACATTAAAATACTCTAAGCTTTTATGTGAGAATACATTTCATGTATGTAATAATAAGTATTTTTCAAAATGGTATTTTTTTTAACAAATTATATAAGATTAATGGAAAAATTGCAAAAAAAGAAAAAAAATAATAATTAGGTGAAATTTAATGGTAATATATATACAAAAGCTATAGTTGGTTTATAATACATATTCACAAAAAAGTTCAATGATCTTATACTTTGTTACTCTTTTAAGTTATTTTCCCAAATACTTACAACCAAGTTATTCTATCCAAAAATGTTATTTTAATAGTATATCAAAAAAGTTCAATGATATTTTTTTGTATAATTTTAACAATCTGTTACTCTTTTAAGTCATTTTCCCAAATACTAAAACTAACTTAGTTATTCTATCCAAAAATGTTATTTTATAGAGGGTTGAGTTAAACATAAAACCAAATTATACACCAAACCACAATCACAGACATTGAGGTGAGTTCAATATAGATGAGGTGACTTCATAACAAAGCCAAATGATCTTAGGCATTAAGTATTTATCAAACCGCCTATATTCGAGTTCTATAGTTTGGAGTATATAATTGAATTTATTTTGAACCAAACTCTTATCAATTAAAATCATAACAATACCCCAAATGAAATTTGTTTTTTTTGTGAAGATTGCTTTTATTAAAACTTCCAATGTAATTCATTAAAGATGTGAATCAACAATTTTTTGGTGCCAAAACTCCAACAAATACTTCACCAAGTATATATCCAAAAGCCAAACAATACTATAACTCCTTCCAATCATTAAAAGTTCTCTCCAATCTATAGCAGAATATAACCAAAAGTACATGCCCACACAAGTAATTCACAAAACTAACTCTAAAGCTTCCATCCTATTATAATAAGAAGCCATGATTAGCATAAAATTGACAAATCAAAGATTTGCAAAAACAAAGTGTCATCTTTTTTCATGATTCCATGGTATGCATATGTGATATGTCTGTCAATTCTTCCACATACTAGGGTTGTATGCTTACCTTCATTCTATTATTCGGCCTTTTTTTCTTTCCTTTGAGAAATTGGAACTTTTTGTAAGATGAGATCAGCTTTCTTCAATACCCCACTCATGTTCTTGTGTACAATTATCAACTTTTCATCTACTTGAGCCTGGAATGTTTCGTATAGGATAGGAACTGAGAAAGTAAGAAGGACCCCTAAGATGAAATCAAGAAATAGTGTCAAGATAATGTTTGAAGGAATGCAGAAATGTTGGGATATGGAAAGAAAGCTTACCAATGTATATCAGCGTAAGAAAGTTAAACAAACTACCAATAAAGGAAATCAACCACAAACCAAAAGCAACCTGAAAGTTTTAACCCAAATTATAGAAGCTATTAAGAACATAATTCTTGAAAGAGTAACGGAGATTTCAAGAAATTGTACCAAAATTATAGTTCTCAAGTTTCCATCAACCGCAATTTCATGCAAGGTTGATAAAACAGTATTAATCCGCAATCGTATCTCATCAGCAGCTAGGAGAGCCGATTCTTCTGATATGTCCAGGTTAGGGATTGGGGGCAGAGGTCTACAAGTAAGGAGACATCATCAAATTATACTGAAATTAGAAAGTGTACCCTAATATTGAGAAGGAGGAAGTACTGATCTATGTTACTATGTAGATTAATCTAATTGCTACAAAGCACAATTTCAATTGTTATTTGAAGATTGATTCAACTTTTGATCCAAAAACGTACAGCAAAAAAAGTAAAATTGAGTACTATGGAAATTGAGAGAAGGATGCACGCACCTATTAAGAAGAGACGCAGATTTTGCCCAGAAAAAGAGGATAACAACCAAAAGGAGTAGAGAATTGGAGAATATTGCTAAGAAGTTATATCCTGCTCTTTCAAACAGGAGCCACACGACTGTTGAACCAATTAAGATCACAACTCCTCCGTAGCATTTCCTCCATAGCAATGTATCCGCAACTGCAACACCAATAAACAACTTAATTGACAGAGTGACATCAAGAACGAAAAAGACATCGCGATCAATCAATCAAATTAGAGAAGAGAAATAAAACGGAAATTAATCTGATCAAGAGAATGCTAAAGCTGTAATGTATTTAAATCGTTTTCAAGATTGATTTTAACATGCAGTAGAATCGAAGAATGAATTTGCGATCAGATGCAAAGTGATAGAGAAGCACACACCTGCGCCGCCTCCTAGAGCGTCATAGACAGAAATCCGATCGACTTCGTTCATGGCGATTAGGGTTTTTTCTCAGAAAAGGGGGAAGGAGGGAGATTTTTGAAGGGGGTTGGTATGTAAAGCGTTTCAAAAGGTTTTCTTTTTTGCATAAAATGTAACGTATGAGGAGTTTAAACGAACGTTGAGACTTGAGATTTGATAACCAGTATTATTTTCAATATAATCACCGTCATTATCTATGAACAACTAAATTCAATTTTTTAAAAAAGGTACATCAATAGTGAAATTTTATGAAATCTTTTGAAAAATCTTATTATTTAATAAAAATTACCGATTAAGTTTTAATTTTCTTTTAAAAAAAAAACCCAAAAAACCGGAAAATTGAGAATGATAACGTTGCAATCGAGAAAATAGAAAAACAACAATATTTGGCTAAAGAACATGATGAAGAGTATGTAGTTACATTATACAAGCACATATTTTCTTTATTATTTTAATGGGGATGCATTAATTTTTCTATTTTTCTCTTGATAGGAAAATTTCAAATCCTAAAATGTCAATTTTTTGGAAAGGGAACTTCCCTAACGAGGGTTTCCGGGCCAGCTTTCGCGCACCGACTAATCCCCCGCTGCAAACATGAGGCTTTGCCTCATGCCCTGGAGTCACTGCAGGTGAACCTCCATGTTAAACGTGCAAATGAATCAATGTGATTGAACCATATTAATATATATATTTTTTGTATTTAATTTGGGGAAATCTCCAGAAAAATCCTAAAATTTTGGGTCAGTTTATGATCTAGTCCTAAATTAAATTTCATTAATGAAAAAGGACAGGAAACCGGCTATTGTAATCACTTTTATCCCTTTTTACCTTTTCAGCAGGTTACTGCTGATGTGGAGTGCCAACTGTATTGCTGAGCTGAGGTGGTGTCTGAGGTGGCATCCCATTCCTTTACAAAGTAAAAACCAGATTTTTTTTCGGGAAAAAAGGGGGAGGGGGACTCGAACCCTTGACCTCCCACTCACAAACCGAACAACTTACCAAGTGAACTAGAAGAATCTGTTAATATTATTTCTTCATATATGTTTATAAAATCTTAATACCCCACCCAACCACACATTAAACCTGGTATCCTTCCTCTGTCTTCTCTAACTCACTTAAAACCCTAATTTATAAATGAACCAGAGTTAAAACCGAAGGATTTAAGCGAGGTGAAGGAAATGGAAATTGGATCTCACGGTGGTTGTAAAGCGATCGAGCTTAGGAAAATGTTCACCAAACAAGTTTCTGACCACCCAATAGAACCATTGAGCTTCATTATCTTCTCAATAGACAATTCGGCTTCATCTTCTTCAAAATTAAATGAGTTACAGAGAATTTCATGTATTTCCTTCTTCTCTCCCTTAAACAACGCCACTATTCTAATGTTTCCGATCTTGATCTCCCCCACAATAGCGACAGTAACATCTCGCCATTCCATTCGTTCGGGTTTGGGAATCTTGAGATTGTTCTGATTTGAGCGATAGAGGAAAGAAAAGGGGAAAGCAGAAAATCCATTATGGTTTGTGGTGAAGTGGAATAGATTACCTGATGTGAATAGATTCTTAAGGAGAAGAAGTATTAAGTTCGTGTTTTTGGTGAATTAATAAGGAGGAAGAAGTTGTAGGTTCGTCTTTATATATGGAGGAAGATGAAGGTCATAAGGATTAATAAATAAATATGAAGAAAAGAAAACAATGACCACTTCTAGTTCACTTGGGAAGTTGTTCGGTTTGTGAGTGGGAGGTCAAGGGTTCGAGTCCCCCTCCCCCTTTTTTCCTAAAAAAAAACTGGTTTTTTACTTTGTAAATTAATGGATGCCACCTGAGACGCCATGTCAGCTCAGCAATACAGGTGACACTCCACATTAGCAGTAACCTGCTGAAAAGGTGAAAATGGGTAAAAGTAATTACAATAGCTGGTTTTCTGTCCTTTTTCATTAATAAAAATTACTTTAGGACTAGATCATAAACTGCCCCAAAATTTTAGGACTTATTTGGAGATTTCCCTTTAATTTGCAAAAGATATTTACACTTTTCCGTTATATTTTGTATTGTTCTAGTTTATTAATTTTGTGGTTATATTTGTAGTTTTATCTCTGAAAAATCTACAACTATACTATGATTGAATTAATTGATTGGTTAAAAATATATAATTCGTCTTTTTTGTTATAATTTGATTTTAAATTTAATTTATTAACATCCACAAATTATTAATGCATGTCTTTTTTTTAACCACAGTTCATATGATTAGCATACGGATCATATGATTAGCATGTTAGTAAATCCAAATTTAGAAATTCATTTGTTAACCTCTAACAACCAGGCTAACCTTAGTTGGCAGTATAGGCCCTTCTAGTTAGATAAAACTGCAAGATTGGTCCCTGTGGTATTCAAAAAACTTTGGAGGGGTCCAAAAACTTTCCAACTTACATAGAGGGTCCAAAATCAAGGTTTTCTGTGTTTTTGGTCCAAAAAAACTTGAAAAGACGGTTATGTCCTTTTACTTTTTTTTTGTATTTTTTATATTTTTTCAAATACTATTTTAATTTAAAAATAAAAAGAAAAGAAGATAATTATCCCCCCAACCCCACCGTTCTCTCTCTCTCTCTCTCTCTCTCTCTCTCTCTCTCTCTTAACTGAAGAACTTCCCATCTCGTCTTCATTGGCAACCTTCCAAGTCTTGATTTTAAACTCCAACAAACTCACCGGAAAAATACCAGGTGAACTTGGGAACTGCCGGAGTCTCAAGAATCTGAAGAGAAATCAAGAACCTACAACATTTGGGCCAACTCCAACAAACTCACCTCCAAGACTTGATTTTTGTTCCACCAGTTTTAGCACCATAAAGAGAAATCAAAAACCTGCAACATTTAGGCCAACTCCGGTGCCTATTCCACCTATCGATGCCTCCTAATTAACTTTGACGACCATTTCCCCTCTCAACCTCGGTTAACTTCTCTCTCCTGGAGGGTATCACGATGGTTGGTGGTTTTCGTCATCGGAGAACATAACCCACCACCAGTAACTCATCAAAAAATCGAGCACCACCATTGACTTGATCTTTGCTTCCCTCTTTCCTCATCATTGAATCACCCCACCTGGTCTCTATTATCCACGAAACCCAAATACATTGCATCTGATTTCAAACTCAAGCTTACATCTGTTTCTTTGTTACACATACATCGACTTCCTTATTCTTTTGATCTAATGTGAACATCTCAGTTCTCTGTACAAATTGGAGTTTCATTGAAACTGACCAACTTCGCCATAAAAGGTTCCGAGATGCACCTTTTCTCAATTCATCGGACCTCGCAACCCCCCGCTAAAGAACAAAGTGGAGATGCACCATTGGGGTTTCTCTGTTACTCCTTCACTTCCACAGATCATTATGTTGGGGTTTGTCTTTGACTGGAACCCTAAGATTCTTTTGACAAACGATTTTTTGTTGGTTTTTGGATTTTGACTTGGGTAAGATGACAGAGTAGTGTGTTGTTGAAGGGGAAAGGGGTTTCATTGTATGTTTATGGGACCAGTGGTGGGGTTCGAGCAGCAGGAGGCTGATCAAAGGGAGGGTATGTCGATGGAGTTGTGGAAGATTATTAAAGATGAATATGAATGAATCTAGGTTAGGTTAGGAGAGAGAGAGAGATAGAGAGAGAGAGAGAGAGAGAAAGAAAGAGAGAAAGAAAGATATATATATATATATATATATATATATATATATATATATATATATATATATATATATATAGAGAGAGAGAGAGAGAGAGAGAGAGAGAATACCGATGGAGAGGGTTGGGTGAGATTTTTAAATTTTTTTTAATTATTCAAATACCAAAATAAATAAATAAAATACAAAAAAGAAATGAAAAGTGTAAAATCGACTTTTCAAGTGTATCAGGGACCAAAAACACAACAAAACCTTGATTTTGGACATTCCATGTAAGTTGAAAACTTTTTGAACCCTATCCAAAGTTTTTTGAACACCACAGAGACCAATATTGCAGTTTTTTCTTTTAGTTACTTGATAATAGTTTTTTAATTATTCAAATACCAAAATAAACAATAAAAACACAAATATATAGATTTTTATTAAATATCATCATTTGTTATTTAAATGGTTAAACACCCTTGTTTGTTATTTTAAATGTTTAACATCACCTGTTAAATTATCTTTTAAATAATTAAAGATTAGAAAAAATGTCAGAAAAGTCCTAATATTTTCAGGAAAGTTACACTTTAGTCCCAAGATTTTTTTTTTGAACATAAAAGTCATGATTATTTCATTTTGGCTTAAGTTTACAAAAAAGTCTTTTTTTTTTCTTTTAACAGGAAATGACATATTATCGTGTTTTTACAAATAATCGGGACTTTAATGTTCAACAAAAAAATCTTGGGACTAAAGTGTAACTATCCTAAAGCAATTTCCCTTAAAAATTATCTAGAAAAGTATATTAGAACTTAATAAACGTAACAATGGTTAGAAATAATTGTAAGTTGAATTTTACAATGCATTAAAAATAAATAATAGGTTATTCAACTTGAAAACAATAGTTGACATTTAAAAAGAAAATTATCGTAGAAATTAAAAATCGATCAAATATGTAGTTTTTAAATTGAGTAACTGTAACAATAGTTAAAATAATTTTAAATCAAAACTATACATGACTTTATATGGGTAAAACTCGCGAATATAGGTCATTGTGATCATATCGTTCAATATATTTAACTTTAACAATATTCATTTGAATTTTATTTTGTGAATTACATTCAATCATTTTAATTTAAATCTTTAATTTTCAAGCTACTAATTCTCGACATCGTTCTGGATGTACCGGTCTAGCCCTTGGTCTCGTATTTTGAATTTTAATTCTTGGCTCTTTAACCGAGGGTTAAGGGCCAATTCTCGTTTGTTAGAAACTTATCCGTAATGGGATATCTACTATGACATCTGTTATTTTCCAGAACCGAAAAAAAAAACTTTTCTTTACGCTTTCATAACTATATTTTCTTTGTTTGTAGAAAATCTCAGTGCAATAAGATATTTTGCGGAAACTGTCTCGTTTTATTAAAATATCTTGAGTAAAGATGTTATTTCAAAATACAAAATTCTAAGGATATCATAATCAATACAATACATAACTTACAACGTAAAGAC